TACTTGGGCTCTTATCTGTTTTGGCTGCTTTGTTCATGAGCTGAATATATCTAATACTCTTTTTTTACTTCTAAAATCGTAGGAGTTGTGTTTGAAACGCCCACAGAATCCACACCTCAGCAGGTAGGGCGCCTTTTAACTGCTGTGAGAGGGTCAATATGCCCCCATTTAATTATACTGTAATCATGGCCTGCAACAACCCAATTGTTGTCAGAGACACTTGATCTGTCATCAGTGATCCTCTAGTGTGAGCAGTGAATTGAACCAAACTGTCCTCAGACAAAATAATATATCTGACGCCCGCCTTTTGTGATGGAGTTAGTTGAAATGCTGTGAAGTCAGGGTTTGAGCTTAAATGTTGACAATGTTCTGTTTCTTTGTTAGAACAGTAGGCAAACGAATAAAAGAAAACAGAGACAAAAGTGCTCCGACAGGATTTAGGAAACATCAAGGAGCTCAAGGAAGTTAATTCTATTAAATACTTTAGGCTTCTTTTTTTAATAAGTAGGCGGAAGGGGAGACACCACTCAGAGACATGTTCGTGATGAATGGTATGTGTGGATCATTGATGGTTTTACGGTCAAATTCAATCAATATTATTAACTCACAGGCTACTTGAGCTGCCCAAAATATCCAAATGTTTGGATTCTTGGATTATTTCCTGATGTTTGAGAACAATTACCAGTGAAATCACATGTACAGTAAAGGGAGGTAAAAATGTTATTTGCATAGATGTCCATTAATGACCTTTGGGACCAATATAGTGAAAAGAATATAAAAAAAAGATCCTTTTCTCAAAAGTGAAAGCTCAGACATTTAGTGCTGGGTCCTGGCCTCAGAACAGTAATCAGAAGGATTATCTCACGTGAATGCCTACATTTCCTGAAGTGTGAATATCACTGCTAGGAAACTGAACAAACCTCAGAAATCTGCCATCAGTCTTGCAGTAATTCTAAGGATTGACAGCAAATAAAACAAGGAATAAAAACCTGCGATCTTCAGGCCTTGCTGGCTCATGAATGAGAATCCTATCCTATCCTCAGAAATACTCACAGCTGGCTGAGCATCCAAGGCTACTTACACTATTTTTAAATTGTAACATAATGGTGTAAAGGACCAGTGTGTAGGATTTAGTGGCATCTAGCAGTGAAGTTGCAGATTGCAATTAACTGAACACCGCTCGCGTCTGTAATTGACGACCTGGGCATGAGAATGGTGTAGTGTTGTGTAATAGTATGTAACTCCTATCTATAGCCAGTGTTTGGTTTGCCCGGGCTACTCTTGAAATCACAGCGGTTGAACATGGCAGTCGCCATGGAAGCCTCACAGTGAACAGAGATTTAGGGTCTTTGCATGTCTCGTGTATGAGTTTTTATTGAAGCCAGCGTCATGCCTCTAGTGATGACAATATTCAGACATTTTATACGGTTTCCTAGACAATGTCTCCTGATGACTTTGTTGATCCAACTGTTACTTTAGCGCCACCATGAGGTTTACAATTTTATTTTGTCCGGTACTTTGGTTTATGACAAAATACCTGCAAAACTAACAACATTCCCATCAGCCTCAGCTATAGTTTGTGTTTAGTGCTAAATAACAAACGTTAACACGTAAGGTGTGCTAGCATTTAGCTCAAAGCACCACTGTGCCCAAGTACAACCTCACAGAGATACTAGGATAGCTGTAGACTATTGTTTCATCTATACCTATTCATGGTAGTTTGCTTCAGAGCACGCCATCAGCGGTAATGGCAAAGAGATAAAGGCTTGACCTGCTCAGATTTATCTTGCTGGCCCAGGAATTGAACTGCCAAGCTTCGATTATGCTTCTCAAAACCAAACCCAAAATACACATCACTGCAAAGAGCCAGGACAGCACCACCTGCAACCACTAGATCTTCACCTTTGACTGGGACTTGAACCTGTGACTAAGATTCTCTGCCAGCTGGGCAAACGCTCTTTAAAAGTTACTGTTGATAAGATAAGGTGGATACAAATGGAAATATATTTGTGTTGCCAAGTCATTCCCTGACAACATAACATCTCAACTGCCTATGTCAGATGTTGCTAAATTGCCAGGAAAACAAGCAACAAACACGTTAGCTCATGACAGTTTGCTGCCATCGGTGAAGAGACAGAAAGAAAAGCAGAGGAGGGAGAGTGGATGGGAGATGAGACATCGTCCTTCCTCCTCATCTGAAAACAATAAGACAACAAGAGAGCAGGAATTAAAAGACTAGAGCCGTCTAATCTGGAACAACAGAGGAATGTCAGGGAGATGCCACAGCACCCTTTTATCCCAGATGTGCGCTATTAGGTCCACGGGCCCGATCCCTGCGCCAGACCCTGCTGGATAGGATTTCTACCTCTGCTAATGCCACTGGACATACGATCTGACAATGATAATGATAATTACTTCTAATGACATGCCTTCCATTGTGGAATAAGTGGAAAGCACACAGGAAGGCACACAAACTGAAACGAGACAATATTTGAAGAGCTTTAAAGAGAAATTACTGTTGGCTTTCTCACCAATTTGGAAAAAGTTAACACAGCTCTGTACATTCCTCCGCACTATTTAAATGTTTCACAGCTTCTTGCGCGTTTGTGTAAGAGGAAGAAAATATGGAACAATCAAAAGGTCACAACAACAACTTGGTTTTGGAGGGAAAACAGAAACCGCTGCCAAGTGTAGTTTTTAATGTTTTGGAATATTGGTATGAGGGTCATCATTAATTTAATTCAGAGTTAAAAACAAGAGCCAGACACTGTCTCGAAATACAATAGTTCTATTGCTGATGAGGGCATGAAAGAATAAGAGGCTACATAATCTGTGTTTTTGTTCTTTCAATACAATTTTAACCAGTATTGACAGCATTTCCACAACACAGAGCTTTCAAAAATAGCTTTTCAAAGTCTATTTTCAGAATTCTTTGGACCGTCAGAAACACAGAACACATGAGGAGCATGACACCCTGGACATGATTACTCTAACTATCTCTGTGAGTTACACCAAATCTGGATATCCATGGATGGAAGCAACATAAAAGCATAAACCTCTGATGGAGCTAAGGAGGTGTGATGCTTTAAGATATTATCTCGCAGTGGACCAGCCAACATAAAGAAATTCAAGTCCTTTTTTAGCCACGGGGAGCTTAGCGAGGTGGCCATACAAGAGTCTTATCGCTCTCCTCATCTACTTGCTCTCTTCTCTTCTGTAACTTTTTTCCTGGGTTCAGGATTGAAAGCCTCACTAAGTTTCTGCACCTTTGAGGATGTTTGCACAGGAGTAAACTCTAATAATGCAAACAGCAATATCAATCAATTCCTAGTTAAAATAGTGCAATAGGTGTCCTCTACTGTAACTCACAACTATTCTTGTGCGTAACGCTGCTTTTCAAATTTTTTCCATAATATTCGGTCACAAAAATCTCTTTCGCAAGAATCGACCCCATGTGGGATTTTTTACTTTTTCATTTCAATAAAACAGATAAATATTTTTGAAGCGGTTTCCTCCCCGCAGCCTTTCACTTGTTCCACTGCATGCTGTCATCCGAAACTCTGGGTTGTACCATGTTTGTGTCATATTTCATTTGCCATAAACAAAAGTTCCTAAACAGTGTCATAGTGATTCAAACACAAAATCGCAACCAAAACAAGGGAACTCTACATGTGCCGAGTGTTCCCTGCCAGCGGCTGAGAATAACAGATCAACAGCCATGAGTCTGTCAACAGCACTACAACGTTTCAGCAAGTGCCCCAAAACAGCATTATGTCCAAGTTAAAAAAGTCTCCTAGCAGCTGTAGTAGTTATAATGTGAGCAAAGGAAGAAGTCAGGTGACGTTATTATAGATTGGGGTAGATGGATAAGTAAATAAAAAGTCGGACTTTAACATGCTAGGCCGCTGTTTGTTTCCCATTTCCTACCCCGAGTCAGTTTTGGTTTATTTTAACCATGACCACAATTGTTCCCTAATGTCAAACGAGTGGTTATTATTGTAACCATGACGATGAAATAATAATTTGAACCCAAACCATTATGTTTACCTAAACCTATCAAAGTTGTTTTTGTGCCTAAATTTGTCAAATTTTAACCATAACGACAATGCGGCAGTAGCTCAGTCCGTAGGGAGGGTGTCCACTTCAAGTCCAGCACACCACAGTATGGAGTGTGGATTGGTTGCTGGTGAGGTGCCAGTTCACCTCCTGGGCACTGCCAAGGTGCACAAGGCACCAAACTGCTCCCTGTGCACCACTACTTGGCAGCCCTTCACGCCACCATCTCTCCACATTTGCATTTGTACAAGCTCTGTGTGTGTGATTGTATTTCGGGGCTACGTGTGTAAAAAATTAAAGTGAAAAAAGAATTTCCCCATTGTGGATTAAAAAAATAAATCTATCTCATAAAACTGATTCATCTTTCAACAACGGAAGGCACAGATAAATTGTGTCATCCTGCTTAAGTTAAAAAATGTCAGTAACTTTAGCTTTCATCCAAGACCATTCAGCGTGACAACAACATTACAGCAGGATGTTATCCACACAGAGTGCATTCTGTGGTTTAGGACTACATCACCAAGAATCACAGACCTTTAAAAGTTCGTCTGCAGCAAACCAGAAATCACAAAAATTAAGCAAGCTTCCTTCGACTTTTTTCATGAAATGAGAAAACTGTTAACGTCAGCCTACGAGTATTAATTAGAAGTAGCACATGTTGGAATTTTTTAATAGGGCACCTCTCCCACTTGGCATTATAAATTGCACAAGTGAGCCAACACAGCACATAACACCAGACCAAACAATGCAGGGAATCCACAGATGTTGGCAGTCCAATGTAATGAACAATAAATCAATTAAATAATCAGTGGTATTGCTGTATTCATTAAAAACAGGCAAGTTCTGCTGCAGTTTGTTTGTGGTTGATTCAAAAAGTATATATGACAACCACATCTTTCTGCACTTGCAATCTCCATCCATATCCCCCACTCCTTCCCTCTCACCTGTAGGACATTTTTTCTTCATCCTGCACCTCTGTGTCTCGCTGTAGGATGGGCAAAGTGATGTTGCTTTCTCTTCAGGCATTCTGCCGGACTGCCCAGCCCCCCGGGTCCTGGTCTGCTTGCCCCACCGGAAGCCACAGTTGACACCGTCACGGAGACAGGCGCTCCAGTCGCTCCACTCTCCCAATGGAGCCTGGAGACAGTGCTCTAAGAGAAGAGATGGACTGATTAAAAGATATCTCAACGTCAGAAACAAAAAGAAAATTGGGATTATAGAAGCCAAGTACTTAACCAGTTACACATGTGATGGATCCAGGGAGCCTTAAGGTGCTCTTAAAGATGAAAAAACGGTCAAAGAAAAAAGATAAGTTCTTTTAAGTGAAGAAGCATTGAGGTTCAGAGGTTTTTAACCATTATATGCTTGACTAAACAAAGACTTTTAACATTAAGTTTTACTTTCTCAGCCTAATTGAAGAAATTCAAAGACTGAGATAATGAATTAAGATAAATCAATAAATTACAACCACAACCCACGCAGTGCTAACAATACATGAAGACTAATGTTTTCTTCAGACCTCTGGCAACCACACTGTTATCATTGAAGATAGATGAATGCCAGCTGAAGCATTAAGCACACGGGACATTACGCTCGTAGTGACTGGTTGCTGATGAGTGATGTCATCCACAAAGTCAGTCAACACAAATTTTTCCACAAGGTCCACAACGGAAAAACCAGCAACCTCGGCCAAGATGGGACAACATTTCTTGGTAATCATCATTATCATTGTCAGATTTTGGGTATAGAATGAATAGATTTCCAGCGACCCTTTTCTGGAGTTGCTTGAGGTGTGTACCAACAGTCAGACATGAAACCTTAACATCGCCATGAAAACCAGATGTGGTCACGCTGCCAAGAAACAACAGTAGCTGCAGATGGTGCAGGTGGACGGCAGAGGGGGAATCTGGAGTCCTGAACAGCACCGAATGATGAGTGAGCTCAACAATATATCTCACTTACTTAGAAGAGTGGGATGATACACAACGAGATATGAAGATAAATTCTAAAAGTTCTCTGAAGACTTTTAACAAGAATCGTGTGTTGCGTTCAAAGTTCGGCTCCATATCAGAAAAGGTTTGTCTGGGAAATAGATGAAGAGAAAGAAATGAAGTAGATGAGTGTTCATCAGAACCAGAAGGAGATACAAATCAGGTATCAGAAGAAAATATTGAATATGTCGGGACAAAATGTCCCTAAAGAAGGTAGAATTTGTAGCTTGAACGTACCACTGAGCTGTCAGCAGGATATCATGTGATAAAAAGTTTATTGACTATAATAATGTCACTTCCTTAACACTTATCAGATCCACCTGAAAGGATTCAAACATTACTTCAAGGTTTATTTTCCTGTTTCATGGTCTTCATTCAAACAAATTGTAGTTTACTCAAACAGGTGCAATTTATTAAAAGTCACAAATTTCTGATTAAAATCTGCTTAGATAAAAAAACCCACAAACCATAACCAATGAAATACTCAAAAACATCCACACAGGAAACACTGCAGAGAAATGGCCACAGACAAAAGGAAAGGTGTTTTCAGGAACATGTCTGCTGTTGATTAAAGGTTTTATATGTGAGATTTAGAACATTAACATAGCTGTAAACAGCTATCTGCTATATAAAGATATAGCCACACATGTGGATGTGAGTCTTTCCCTATAAAACCGTTGGCTTTGAAGAGGCTCCTTTTTTTCTCATCTGTGACTGTGAATTAGGGATTTAGAGAGAGAGTTGGTGATTGTTGGAACACTGGAAAGATTGTTTTGCAATGTTATATTTTGTGTCTGTCCAGTCTGAATGAAGTGTGTAGCAATGACCGAGGTAAAATTACTGTTTTTATCAATAGAGTCTGGTGGCAAGTGATAACGATATAAGTTACGGGCTGTTTCTGGTTAAACACAAAGGATCTTACTCTTTAATAAAAAGGTCTGTGTCCGTAGGGATCCTTTCCAAATTGTCGACAGACACTGCACTTTTAGTGGACGTACTTTGATGGGCGCATTTGTTACAAAGGGTTACGTTGCAGCCATTGCAGCCTATAATGCGGCTGATTATGGAGCTAGGCAGTAAATTAAAGATTTATTTCCAAACCAGAGTTGGGAAAGTCGTGTACAGTACCTTTATGTCTCTCATAAACACACTTTTAGTCAGTGCCTGAATTGGACCAAAAAGGTACCCTAATGCAGCACAACCTCAGTGGTGGGTACGGCCATGCTCACCAAAAGGATGTCAGTACTCAATTAGAAGTAAGGGTACTCATGTGGACAAAAGTCAGAAGTGCCAGTACTCAGTACCGGTTAATACTGACCCATTTCAGGCAGTGCTTTTAGTTCACTTTCATAACAGAAAGCAACTTGAAACAGCAGTTAAAATAGGATACATGTCACATGTTTACATTCACACTAGGATTCTGGTTTTAACTCTCTCCTGGGGAACACGAAGTCCATATGGAACACACAGAAATCTGGTTATTAATCTCCCAGTACACATGATTATTAATCTTCCGGTATACATGATTCTAACATTATCCAGGTTTCTAACAGTACGTGTGCAGACATATATTTGGCCTCCACATGCAGCATCAGTGTCTGTACAGACTGAGTTACCTCATCAAGTGAAGATGTGTTGTTTTCGGCTGAATTCACTACTCTTATGTGGTTTCTACATCTGATGTAGTTGTATGGAATTTGTTAGTGTCAGACTTCACCTTTTTTCATGTAGTCCACCATTACATCATTTATCATCATCATTTTTTTGGTTAGGGTGCATCTGCACACATGGCAGACAGTGATCAGAAACCTGGATACTTTCTGATAAGACCCAAAAAAGGCTACTCATAGTTGATTAAAGTAAGTTCTTCAGATATGAAATGGTTGTAGTGTCTTTACTTACCGAGGCAGTCGGCCTGGTGGGCGAAGGTTCCCTCTGGGCAGTGGGTCAGACACTTGCCTTTGTGCAGCTGGAAGCCAGGCTTACACTTGGTGCAAAAGTCCCGGCTGAAACAATGCTCACAGTCCAAAGAGCGGCACTCTGGGAGGAAGGAGACCATCACACATCCGGTCAATAAACACTTCATTCTGGAGAAAACCACAGTCTCCTTTTCAGCCTGATTTTCACTTTAGTCATGATGGTGAGATGCAGGTGGGCAGAACAGACAGAAAAATTTGGAGCTGTTAAAACAATCCAGATGGTCCAGATTGTGCAGGGAGGAAAATGCTGCAGAAACCACAGGTCAAAAAGAAAGGCCACATGAAATGACATCTTTACTTCCTTAATGGGATGTATTTCCTGTTTAAATAGGATGTAGGGGTGGGACATTAGAGTGCGAGATATTTTATAAGTGTAAACTGATAGGATGTCAGTTTAAGGGTGAGAGGTAGTATGGTTTAATATATTTTTTGATAGGAAGTTGGAAATAGTTGCTTTAACTTAACCAGACTTAAATTATCATATAATACATGACAATTTCCATTATATTATTACATATTTGTTTCCATTGTCTGAGCTGTTGACCTTCATGCACTACCTTGATTACTTACCCCCATTAACTTTCTATTTAAGTCACTGCAGCATCTTGTTTTGGGTACTTGGATATAAACAGAGTCTAAACTACACCCATCTGGCAAAAACTGGCACTGTGCTGGTCTGGTTTTCCAGGAAGGTAAAGTTTTAAAAGCATCTTAAATGAGTGTGTATACAGCCTTTGTGGTAAAGGGTTTGACCAATCAGAATGGTTCCTGGTATATTTCTAAGAGCAGGTCAGGCCAGAAAAGTATGCAGTCTGGAATAGAGAAACTTCTTGTTTTTTTCCCCTTTCATTGGCACAGTATGTTTCTGGAATGAATTAAGCAAGGTGCATCTCAATAAAGGAACTTGTCCGAATGTGTAAACGGTGTATGAGTATACTGTGTGTTGTTAGTGAACATATTTTCATCTGGCAAAAAAAAAAAATCCCTTCCTACACTAGTTCAGGCCTCAAGACAAATGAGTCATGTGTGCTAATGTGAGTTAGACTCAATATCAGCAAAGACTTTATATATTTAGTCAGAAAGATCTCTGCAGGTGAAACAACCCTTTTAGTTAAAACGTACTCATGCAGCGGTTGATGTCCTTCCCTCTCTGTCCGTAGTGTCCAGCGGGGCAGGCGTGGACACAAGTTCCATGGTGAGATATCCCCTCCCTCTGCAGGAACAGGAAGAGTCGCTCGGGGCAACGCACACAGCCATTGTCACGGGAACACTCCAGACAGCTCCGACAGTCCTCTGATGTCTCTCTGTGAGCTGCAGCAGACAACGGAGGGTGGATCAGGACTGGAGAAAGTCCAGTTAAATAGAGGAGGAATTAAGACAGAATTAGAGGAGGGTAAGAAAGAAAGAGAAATAGAGTGAGAGCAGGGGAGGAGGAGAGGATCAGGAAGGAAAGGAGACACCACAAATCCTCAAGATACAGAGAGAATTTCTGGACTCCATGAAAAATCCACCACAAGACATTCACATGTAGCCACAGTGGATCCCACTTTAAACACTACAGCCAGTTGTTCTCTGCACATTCAAAAAAGTAAAAGGAAATCCAATGCAAATCTTTAACTTTAATGACATAATTCATGATTATTTTACAAATTATATTCATTATCATCTGTATAACAGCAGGTGTCACTTTAATTAAAAAGGTGTAAAGTGAAGTTATTAGTGCTATTAAAACTAAAAATAGTTTGCTTCTGCCTTGTGAAGAGAATCGTTACTCAACGTTGACCTTTGATACTCTCAATTTATTTATTATTTGGAAAGTTCATTTTCTATTCTATTAAAATTGAGGCAGGCAAGTATATTTCAAATTTCTTCTTTCACTGTCAAATAAGAAGCAATCTTCAGCAATGTTCAGCACCTTTGTTTTGTATGTGCACACATGTATTTAATGTAATTGAAGACTTTCAGCCAAAACAAAATGTCCTCCATTGGAAAAGAAAAATCTGGTTACAGATTCTGATGAAAAATGACATTATTGGTAGCTTTTGAAACTTGGAGTCATCTAATAATATAATACAGAAAAACAACAGCACTGCTTAATGTGCTAACTGTGTGAGCCACAGATACATGAGTCGCTGCCACTAGCTTGTTAGTGGTTCTATTAGCTGACTGTAGCAGAACTGTGAGATCAAAGTACCAGGGAGGTTGGTTTACACCACAAGCATAAAAGCTTCAGACTGCTACGAGGAGGAGGGGAGCAGGGTGGAATGAGCAACATAGCCAGAGTGGGAGAAGATAACCTCCGACACCATCGGAGGCCACATAGTTTGCAGCTGTACACACGTACATATATATTTAAAATAATTTAATTAATAGCTTGATAATAGTTTGATAACCAGTCGACTATTGGCTTGAATTAACTACTAGTCGACTAGGAAAATCTTTAGTCGGGAACATCCCTGCATGATACTCAGTATACAGCAGTGGTTCTGAAATGTTTCTGGTGAGCCCCTCCTTCAGAAGCCCCCCTGCTGTGGCTCTATGTCCCACCAGTGGTGCCAAGTTTGAGAGACTGGTATACTGTATATAGGGAATAGTATGCACAATAGGCTATGCTGCTGACTCTTGTAAGTCTTTTGCTTCTGTACCTTGTGTGTCAGCATGTGTTCGTGTTTCTTCATTATTTATTTTTATTTTTTTACACAAAATCCATCAAACGTACTGAGAAGAATAAAAAAAATAAAAAATAAATGCAACTTTTTTCTTCTGGCACACAGAGTGAGTTCAGTCCTGACAAGGTTTGTGCGCACTGACGATGGATTTCACATGTCTTGGTAGCATGACAGTTCGGCTTATGTCTAAGCCAAAGTAAGTCTTATTATATTATAACAGCGAGCAGCGATGTCTGCTCCCAGATACAAAGACAAAGTAGGAATGCTTCCAATCCAATGGGGATAAGTAGGGATACGGAAAGACGGGCAAGGTGGGATGGAAAGACGGTTGGAATGAAGTAAAGAGGGATGGAAAGACTGAAAGGCTGAATCTACTGTTGAGATGAAGGGCAGGCAGTGAGTGTGCGTGAGCCTGAACAATCGCAGTCTATTCACAAAATACTTGCTGAGTGTGTCTATAACAACGTTTGTGTGTGTGTGTGTGTGTGCGCAGCTGAAAAGATTTACACTTGAGAAATGCTAAAAGTTTAACCAGGTCACTGATAGAGGTCAGTAAAGGTCACAGTTCATGCAACTTTACAGCCTCTGTTTTTATATCGTTATATTTGCCTCTTTACTTACTGAAGCCAGGTTATTAATGAATCCTCAGCATTCTGATCCATCTCAGTATCCACTAACATTAGGACAAACATCAACTGAACACATCACTGCACACTGCCCTAACCCTAACTGAGGCTGACAATTACTCGACAGAAGGAAAACCTTCGTAGTGGAAAAAAGTCCAATAAGTGAACCGCAGTAAAAGAAGAAAATTCACAGGGATTTGTGGATTTAAAAATCACAGTAAATTATATTGCCTGCTCCTACCGATGTGCTAAAAGGCTAGTGAAAAATACGGACGACGATAAAAACTTAACTAAAAAAAATTAAATGTAAATATGTATCAAATGCAAGGAGAACATGCTTTCAAATAGCAAGACACAACTTAAAGTAAAGCATATTTGTTATTTTTGCTCTTTGTAAGCTCAAGCTGTTTGTAAAATTGAAGGGAAAATGTAGAAAAGTCCCCACAGAAATGATTCATAAGACATCTCAGCCTGACTCTGTGCTGTCTGTTCTGCAGTGTGCAAATAAAATTAGGTACAAGGAACAAAGACTGCTCTGCTATCTGTGTGCTGCTGCTGCTGCAGGCGGACCTGCTGACAGCCCTTCGGACTTTGGAAGAATCTCATGCATCATGTCTGACTGTATAAATATAATAATAATATAATACAGTGATACAGTGATTAAAAAATACTTTGCCCTTTAACAACAAGGTGCTGAAGAGCCCTTTAACCAAGCACTTAACCACAGTGACTTTAGTTTAGCAGCTCATTGGCACAGATGCGTTTTTTCTGGCAGTTCCTGGGTGTGAATGTAATTCATCAAATGAAAGGATTTGTGATATCTGTAGAACTGACATAGACGTTCTGGAGCTGCCATTTTGCAGAGGATTAATCATACACAGAGAAATCCATCACGGAAGAGGCAGAAATAGTAGTTTCTTGATCAACAGACATGTGAATAGACCAGAATGTAATGCAACACATCCACAAGCCATTCTCCCCAAATGCACTTTGGCTGTCAAAAGACCAGTTGGGAAGTGTGTATTATAGTTTATGTAATAGTATTATATGTGGGAAATAACAAGTTTAAGTAGACATTAGCAGTGGAAGTATTCAGATCAATTACTTAAGTTAAAATTGCAACACCACAAGGCAGTGGTGCACTAGCCTCTATTAAAAAAAGTACTATTTAAAGTATATATTTTTTAGGATTAAAAAAGGTGAAAGCACAATAGTATTAGCACAATTCTCATACAGACACACACGGAACCCTTCAGCATCTGTATGAGATGCACCGTTAGCATTGTTAAACGGTCGCAGTTTGGTTTGGCTCAGGCACCAAAACTACCTGGTTAGGTTTAGGAAAAGAATGTGGTTTGGGTTAAAATAACTCACATTGAAAGTAACTTATGTAACTTAGAACTAACAATAACTCAACGTTTACTTATAACTCTTGGCTGAAAGGGTTTGTGTCTCATACAGATGTTAAAGGGTATCCTGTGCGCCTCTATAAGATGCCAAGGGGCAGATTATAACTATTGATGCATTATTGTGATTATCCATTTAATGTTGCAGCCTGTAAGCCTTTGGAGCAATTTAATGATTTTATATACTGTAGTGTAGCTTGATCTATACCATAAAACTTCTAATAAATAGCCCAAGTGTTTATTTACTTAAATCACTGAACACCCCTGCCTTGATTGGGGCCAGGCCTTTATTTGGGACAGGCGTTTAATTCCTTTAGCACAAAACTCTTGCTCAGGCAAGACGGAAACACTGTCATAACTGTGCTGCTTCTCTTGAGTTTCCTTCAGCAAATTTGACAACAAAAATCTTATGGTAAATTTTAGGTTGTACTTTCTTTCTCTGTGTCACCGCCATGAGACCTGAACATTTACGGCAGCCAGCATACAGACAGTGAGCAACGGACTTCACATGACAACATTCACAACTCAGAAACCCTTTGATTCTTTTGATCAGTGGACCCTGATTGACTAAAGGAATATAAATAATGGAGGAATGGGCATGGACCGTACGGACAGAATTTTTTTTCCTTCTTTTCAAGCAAATAAGTCTGAATTAAAAATACTACTGTTCATAGTTTCCGTAAAATTAACTGAACAATTGAATTGTGGAGGATCTAACTGATCTAAGGATGTGCAGCATCCATATTGACAAAAGTTTAAACATTTATATTTGTGTAGGTGATTTTAAGCAGCATAAAACTCGCTCAAGCAGGCGACCCGTGGGTTTTAAGAGGTTTTATACATCCAGATTATTTCTATAAAGTCCAGACTAGGCCTCTATTGGAAACCTGCTTTTATATGTCAAAACATGTAGCCACACCAGGTTTGTAAAGGAGACCTGCATCTGTTTGGGACCCTGCTTTTATTGGAAGTTTTATGATAATAATCAATAATTTATCTGTTGATAATATTTTGCATTCATAATTTAAATCTTTAATTAGTTACTAAATTTATTTTTAAAAGATGTATTGAAATAAAAACTGTAATATTTACTTTAACAAACTAATATACCTTAACATTGTAAATGTACTTAGTTACTTTCCACCACTGGTATTTAGGCTGTAGTTTCTTGGGTTCTTTATGAATTCACCCAAATAACTTCCTGTGATTACACTGGATGAGGATGAATAGATGATTTTGATGTATCAATTTGTTCTACTGAGGTAGTTCTATATGAAGGGAAAGTAACACAAAACACCTGTGAATGAATAAATCTCCCAGACCAATTACAGACTACAAAAGGTGGAATATTCCTCAGACTTGCTGGATTTCCTCCAGAGTCATTTTGTCTATTAGAATAGTCCAATTAGAATGAGAAAGATACTGCTAAACCCCCTGCATGTACCTCCAGCATTAGCTAAAACCTTAACTGGTTTAATGTCATCATTAATCATAAGTTCAGCACAAGGTCAGACTATATACAGCTCATATTATTTCATTAATTTCCAAAATAAATCTTTTACCATATGTTTGTTTGAAGGCAACACTACAATTAAAGTTATCTAATTGTG